GCATGCACCATCAGGCTATTCAGTTAACGTTGCCACTGCAAATGCTACCCAGGTTTGATTCTGATGCTTTATGAGTATGATATCATTTAAACTGTAGGTGATACTTTGTTGGATATTTTAGGCCAAAAGTTATGGTTGATGGCAAGGGTGCAACTTTACTTAATAGTTTCTCAAAACTGCATCAAGCATTAAGGGGCTGAGTCCATTATTGATGCCATGGGTTGGGATGCTAAGCCCTTGAATTCTAATGAAGATGCTCCCCTCTTTGATTTTAATGTATCCTAGCTGTCAGGATGTTGGAAGTTGGTCATCAATGAGTATTCTTAGTACTTAATTTTAATCATGAATTGAGCATCTGTTCTAATTTATTCTGCTAGTAGTTGCTACTGCTATTTAGAAGAAAGGGTATTGAAATCATGGGATCATTAATGCATAATGTAATGCTAATAACAGCCAAAGAAATATTGAATTGATATTCACATGATATATTTTTTGTTGTTTGTTTGGATTTTTTGTAAGTGATGTGTTTACAGATTCTCTTTGGTGTTCTGCATCTGCTCAAGGTTATTTTAATGGAATTCGAATTTCTGATATGCAAAGAGACCAGACAGCTTTGTTTATTCTTGTAGTTTTAAAGTTCCTTGTTGTTTCTGTTTTGTGAACCAACGTTTTATTTTTACAGTTTTGTGAATATTTCAATAGTTGGACTTTACTGTGACAATACAAATTATTATTTCGACTTTTTGTCAAGTCATTAATAACTGTTATAACTGATTTATCAAAATAATAATGTTACACCTTGATACAGGTTTTGTTGGCCACAGGAGGTGGGCATTTAGTTTATCTGGAAATTGGAGATGGTATACTGCTAGAAGTGAAGCATGCCCAACTGGAGTATGAGATCTCATGCCTAGACATAAACCCCATTGGTGAAAACCCTGATCACAGTCATCTGGCAGCAGTTGGAATGTGGACTGACATAAGTGTTAGAATATTTTCTCTTCCTGACCTGAATCTCATTACAAAGGAGCATTTAGGAGGAGAGATAATACCTCGATCTGTTCTTCTTTGTGCTTTTGAAGGGGTAAGCTTTCCTTGAGCTATCTTATATTTTGATTTTTTAAATTCTGCTTCTGTTTAGTTATTGTTTATTTGATTGGGAATACTCCTTTCTCTTATGTAGTTCAATTTTTAGGGTAGGAATTTTTTAGTTTTACTCATGCAAGCAATTGTGGGTGCTACATACTAGACAAGAAATATTTACATCCTTTTACAATTCAGATTGTGTTAAATACTTCTCTAATGTTACTTAATGATTAAATTACTACATTTCTGGGCTTCAATCCTCTTTTCAGTAGTCAACTGTAGTTTTTCCTTGGAAGTATCTTATTTGCTTTCTTTAATTCTGCTTCTGCTTAGTTATGTTGTTTCTGAAATGTTTTATTATTGGGAATTATCCTTTCATGTAGTTCAATTTTTAGGTTAGGGATTTTGGATTTTTTTACATGTGAGCAGTTGTGAGTATTATAATAAATCAGGAATATTAGTATCTTCGCACAGTTCAAAACATTTCTATTCATGTATATTGCATTCTTCATTTTATTCTCCAGATATCTTACTTGCTATGTGCCCTTGGTGATGGCCATCTCTTAAACTTTCTGTTGAACACAAGTACTGGTGAGTTAACAGATAGGAAAAAGGTCTCTCTTGGGACACAGCCCATCACACTACGGACTTTCTCTTCCAAGAATACTACCCATGTATTTGCTGCATCTGATAGGCCAACTGTGATTTATAGTAGTAACAAAAAATTACTTTATAGCAATGTGAATCTGAAGGAAGTGAGTCACATGTGCCCTTTCAACTCTGCTGCTTTTCCAGACAGGTATATTGATCTTTGTTAATTTGACATCCAAGAATTAGTTAATTTATCCTTTTCCGTTTCTGTGCCTTGTACATTTTGATGTATTATCCATGTGTTCCTATGTTAAACAGTCTTGCAATTGCAAAAGAGGGTGAGCTTACTATTGGCACCATTGACGACATACAGAAACTTCATATTCGCTCTATCCCACTTGGGGAGCATGCACGACGTATCTGCCATCAGGAGCATTCCAGGACTTTTGCTATTTGTACTTTGAAATACAACCCAACAAGTGCTGAAGAATTTGAAACACACTTTGTCCGCTTATTGGATGACCAAACTTTTGAGTTCATATCAACTTATCCGCTTGACACTTACGAACATGGTTGCTTTATAATTAGCTGCTCTTTCTCTGATGATAATAATGTGTATTACTGTGTTGGAACTGCCTATGTATTGCCAGAGGAAAGTGAACCAAGCAAGGTAAGTTGGCAGTTGTCTAATATGTATTCTTTTCAGCATTGTTCTGGTCAAAGGATTTGATATCCTTCACCCTTTGCCTATTTTTAAAAAAACAAATGCAGGGGAGAATTCTTGTTTTTGCCGTTGAAGATGGAAAGCTACAGCTTATTGCTGAGAAAGAGACAAAAGGAGCTGTATACTGCTTGAATGCATTTAACGGTAAATTGCTTGCTGCTATTAATCAAAAAATTCAGCTGTATAAGTGGGTGCTCCGGGAGGATGGTACTCGAGAATTACAGTCTGAATGTGGACATCATGGACACATCTTAGCGCTATATGTGCAAACTAGAGGAGATTTTATCGTAGTTGGAGACCTGATGAAGTCAATTTCCTTGTTAATTTATAAGGTAAGCCTCTGCTTGTCTTATGCTAAAAGTCATTGTCGTATAATTTTCACTGCCTTCAATTTTAACCTGTCCAACATTGTATTTTCATTTCCCCCCCTTCATTTTTTAAAAGACATGGTAAGAGAACTTTCGGTTTTTTATTTTTGTTTGCATGAACTGTTTTCATTGTGTTCCTTCTCCTGATTAGATTTTGAAGATGAGAGTAGTTGGTATTCTGTAGTCTGAGTTTATACGAGTACTCCATTTTCTTTTCTGAATGATACGTTGTTGTTCCTTATTATTAGCATGAAGAAGGTGCTATTGAGGAGAGAGCTCGTGACTACAATGCAAATTGGATGTCTGCTGTTGAAATCCTTGATGACGACGTATATGTTGGTGCTGAAAATAGTTTCAATCTCTTTACTGTTCGGAAAAATAGTGAAGGTGCTACTGATGAAGAACGGGGTCGTCTTGAAGTGGTTGGTGAGTATCACCTTGGAGAATTTGTCAATCGGTTCCGTCATGGTTCCCTTGTTATGCGCATGCCTGATTCTGAGGTGGGTCAGATTCCCACTGTGATTTTTGGAACCATTAATGGCGTGATTGGGGTAATTGCTTCACTTCCTCATGAGCAATATGTCTTCTTAGAGAAGCTTCAATCAAGCTTGAGGAAGGTGATTAAGGGTGTTGGAGGGCTCAGCCATGAGCAATGGAGGTCATTTAACAATGAGAAGAAAACTGTAGATGCTCGAAATTTTCTGGATGGGGATTTAATTGAATCATTTCTTGATCTCAAACGCAGCAAGATGGATGAAATTTCCCAGGCTGTGGGTGCTTCTGTAGAAGAGTTATGCAAAAGAGTAGAAGAGTTGACTAGGTTGCACTGAGTTTATCCTTATGTGGAGCTTATTTGTTTCTTCATTCTTTCTTCTCTAGTGGTTGAACGTTAATTTTCCTTTTTCTAGGGGTTAAAATAACATCATTTGAATAACCTAGTTTTCCCTTCTTTTTTTTGTTGGGTTACATATTTTCCCCGTCTTTTGCCTTGATCTTTGCTGTGACTAAGGGAATGTATTGTAATATAATGATCCCAATTCCCAAATGGTGTATAATGTGTTCAAAAGGCATAATAGAGTTTTTTTTTTTTCCATTACGCACATTTTGCTTGAGCATTTGCTTTCAAGCTGTTGGTTATGCAATGCAGTTGCAAATTTAATTGATTTGACAACACATTTTATCAGAAATGGAAATCTGAACGGTCGGGTAATTTTTTGCTTGCAAGTTGTAACCATTATTGTAATGCTACGTTTACTGCCTGGATACTAGGAATGATGCCAAAAATTTGTATTAACAAAAAACATATGCAGTGGTAAGTGAGTTGTGCTCTTAAAGGAAGATTCAAGTTTAAAATCAGGACAATAAAATTGTTTAGGCTTTTTAGTTGCTGTAGTTTTTAAGGGATTCGTCTCAAGAGTGTGTGGAGATAACTTGATTAAAGATATGAGAGAGGGAGAGAAAGGATGAAAAAAACCTTTGAAGATGTTACTTAATTGGATTATGTTTTGTTCTTCAGTTCAGGGTATGACTTCCCAAAAGTCTATTTTGGTATCCGTTGTAATTCAATATTCACAATTCTAAACTTCGGGTTTCAATTCAAAACATCCAATGTCTTTGTGATTCGATTTCTCGAAAAAGATTATAACTTTAATTAAAATCTCGTTAATGAAGATTTAAAGAAGCAATTCTAGAGTCCAATTAAAAAGTCTGCCCAAGGAATCAACTTAGAATTTCATCCTTCATCACTGATGAAGAGATATGTAAAGATTTAGAAGGAAAAAACATTTTATTTAAAAGATCCACTTCGGCATTCTCGATTTAACGTATTACATCTTTTGAGATTACAATTCGAGGAATAAGGTTTTTAACTATTATTACTTAATTTGTAACATTTATCATTCAATTTATAATACTTAACATAAAATTTAAATTTAAAATACTTATTTCTTTAAGAAAGAGAACTAAAACAAAGTAAATTGCCAGTTCAACTCCATGTATATCCCAAGTCTCCACTAAACTATTGAAGGCCTGATAATTTGAACTCAATTTAAATATTTGATAACGTTAAAAGTCCAATTAAAAGCTTATAAACTAACTACAATGAATAACATAAAATTACATACATCTGTATCAAAATAAAAAAATAAAAAAATTACCTACATCAACACAGTAATTAAATCTTAAAAAAAAAACATTAAATATTAGACTGCAGAAACAGCAAGCTAGTAAGTTAAAATGTTACCAGAAAAATACACCCTCAATTGGAAAGAACTTTTCTAGACACAAGTCTCTTCCCCCTTCTTTGTCAAAAAGCTCCAAATAAAATTTGAAAAGGAAAAAAGAAAAGAAAACCTACTCAATTGAGAAACAGACGTACCTAATATTATCACGCACCAGCTTCGGTATAAAACAAACAAAACAAACAGAAAAAATTCCAAGAAATAACGTCATTTTATTAAAAAAAATAAAATAAAAATGCTTGCAAACCAAAATCTAATCATTCTCTTCTCTCCAAGCGGCGTAGATGTCTTCAATCTTCACCTTGCTGCCGTGAATCTTTTAGAAAAGGAAAGAATTTTACCCATTCAAATGAAATCTTACAGTCGTTGATGGAAAACAAAACTCATTCTTACTTCTTTGAAATTTTCCTTTGTCAGTGACCTTAAAAGAGGCAGAACCGAGTCAATATAGTGACCCTATTAGAATACGAGTTTTGTACTTTAGTATTTTGATACTTTAATTAGGTTGTGTAATATTGACTTGTGATTGTAATTGGTGAATTATGTTAAGCATATTTTGGATCTTTGATGATTGGTGGTTTAGTTTTTAATATTTTCATATAGGATATATATATTTATAAATTTTTAATATAGAAAACCGGGTCAGCGTAGTGACCCCTTGACCCCCCGGTTGAACCCGTGACTCCGTGAGCCCTGACCCCTGACCTCGGCCGAGTCGATGGTTGAGCCGGGATTTTAAACACTGAGAAACAGTACCTAATATTATCATGCACCAGCTTCGGTAGACCTGGATTGTCTATGCAACTCTTCATCTGCATTCCTTAGAAACTGATCCCAACCACTCCCTGGGCTTGTATCCAAGTAATCATATGGAACTGCTGTTTTGAGGCCTGGCCTAACAGCACAACGATCTTCCACAATTCTAAATTCCACATCATCATCTTCACTTTGGATATGCTCTAATTCATCCCATGTAAACAACAATGGCAATGTAAAGCCACCCCAAGGGTTGAAATCCACAACCTTAACTTTCTCATTCTTTGTAATGTAAACATCAAATGTGTAGTTTTCTGACTCAAATCTAGCTCTCACATAGTTGTTGAAAAATCCCTGCATCAGCAATAGGAGACCATTCTTCTTTTCAAGCAGAGCAGGATAAAAAGTGGTAACCTCTCTTTGAGAGATTCCGACTAGTTTTTGCTCATGTATGAAGCACCGAAACTCCATGTCTGGCTGAAGGGATGGATACCATTTCCGGAGGGCGAGGAAGAAATTCACGGGTCTGGATGAAGATTTGTCATGGCAGGAATCATAAGCATGGCACAAGTCATGGACCAATGAGTCAGATGCTCGGAACAAGAGCGCAATCTCACTGAAAGTGGTGCACTGGAGGGTGCGGGCAGTGCTTATCCAAGCTGAATCTTTTGGGGCACTCCAATTCAACTTGGGGAAGACTGCACCCCCAAGGGACTCAATGGATTCCTTAATTTTTAATTCGAGTTCTGGAAAAGAAGGTGGCGGAGAATGTTCTTCTGCTTCATCGCTGGATCCCTCTGACACCTCAAAATCTTCCTCGTCGGGATTATGAACTCTATTCGGCAATGCATCTTCATTTAAGACAGAAACAGGTAACAGGAACAGCCCAGTGTCATCAAGAAGGTACTGGATGAAAGATTCAGGAAGTTGATGAATTAAGGTCTTGATGGATACAGATTTGAACCTTGGGTACCATTCCTGAATCTGACATCGGTTCAACTCTTCCTCTTTCATATTCTGCAAACAGTGGTTTCTCTCAAGAAAAACTGGCTTAACTTCCTTTTCTTCAACTATCTGGTATGCAATAGCCAATATACAACATGATTAGTGATTAATGGCTGAAACCGAGTCAGTTAATAGCAGTCAATATGGGCAAGCCCAAACCACTGTGGGCTAGGAATGCAAAGCCAGAAGCCCATAGGGCCATGTAGGTTAGGGCTGGCCCACTATATTAAAACCCAAAAAATGGACTGGCCCTATGCATTAACAATCAGAATGTGTGTATGCACCTAAATGCATACCAATTACCAATAGCAATAACTAACGACAATAAAAATGTAGTCTATATTACCAATAGAGTTTCTAAGCTGTTATAATTATGTAAGACAAATATATATGTATCATTTATTTGTTCTCTGCCCTGTACATTAGTAACAGGAGCCTAGGCAAATAAAATGTACTCAACAAACCAATATAATGCTCTAGTGCATTCGTAATATGGCAAAGAAAATAAGCAATTGCAGATATATAAGATAGAGAGAGGAGTTTCAGTTATGCTTCAAAAAAACATAGGCAACTAGGCATAACAAATGGACCAAGTACCACAAACAAGTTCTTATAGTTCAATGATATAAAAAAAATTGCAATTGGGAAATTCAAAATTTCAATGTAATCAAAAGTAGAAAACGAAGTTCCCCATTCTCATTTGTTTGAGTCAATTAAAACATATAACAGGTCTCATTATAAAGAATGGGTTAGAGTGTTAGAAAGTTAGTTAGGCAGTTCGAAATAGAGTTTATGGTTGCAGAGAAAATGATAGAAATTAAGACAAATTCTAAGAGAGAATTGAGAGAATAGTCTGAGTAGTGTTATTATGATTGATGCTGAACCTATAGACAGGTTCTGGAATATATAGGAGCTATTAGAAGCAGTTGAAGATGCAGTCTCTAACTGCCAATCTAACTATCTAATACTCTAACCTATTTGGTTGTAAGAGAATTACAATGCATTGCCAACACTTAGCACACGCAAAGTATGGATAAACTGAGCTATTATTACACACTGTAACAATCAGACACCACATCCATTATATGGAAATGATAATAAATCTTTACAGCCGATACTAAAACGTATCATTATTTCAATCTAATAACCACATAAATGAAGTGGCCCAATACTGAATACAACAAGTTCAATGATCATTGCAAACAAAAAACTAAAATCTAATACATTACAGCTATTGCATATTAAAAAAGAAAAAAAAAAGAAAAAAGAAAAGAAAAGAAAAGTGATCTAGCCTAATAATTCATTACAAATTGCATTATAGAAAAGTATACTTAGGTGAACCTTTTTCAAGTAGGTGCAAGTTGGCAAGATATATTCTAGCATAGTTCCAAATCAAATTTTTATAACATATAACCATTATTTATATTGTTTGAGAGACCTATTTTAATAAAACAAAACCTTTTGAAGGCTCAGAGTAGCAGATGTTTTTGTTATCTTGCACATAGTTAAACTTGTTTCCAATGTGTCTTTGTTATTTTGACTTGATTTACTAGGTTTTATTTTTTTTTATTTTGTATTTTTTCTTAGGACATCAGTTTGATTCAATTCTAATCTATATACACTTCTAGATACTGAATCATAAAAGTTCATTGATATTCCATATTTAATTTAGGTTGTAATCTTTTTTTCTTTTTATTTCTAGTTGTTCTGTTCCTTAAAAGAAAAAAAAAAACAATGAACTAGGTTCTTCCATGTTGCTAGTTAACATTATCAGAAGAAGACATACAATGGAAAGAGTGGTAGGCTGGTAACTTAAAACTGCCACAGAATACATGGGAATTGACAGCACATTCCAAAGCGTGCTGGAAAACTCCAGCTGAAACATAAATTTAAAAACTTCTGTTGAATTTTTTTTAGAAAAAAAAAAAAAAAAATTAACTGCAAAGGTTAGCTTCATGGAAAATAACAGATTAGCACAAATTTAAAACCCAACGTTCATTGTTGCCTAAAAATGAATCTTTAGAGGGCAGAACTTATAATGGAAACCAAACTCTAAAAGATATCATATAATCATGAAATGGGAAGCACAAAATTGGCAGAACATGATGATTACATATAAAGCAAATTACCGAATGAGATTTTCTTCTCATTTCTCAATTTAAAAACACATAATATTTTGAAACAAGGAAGAAAAACTAAAGAAAGAAAGTGAGACAGATAAGATACCACTGCTTGATGACGATGGTGTTGTTTATTGTTGGAGTGTGAACACTCAAGACCCAGATGGAAGGAGCTTCGGATTTGGGTTAGCGTGTTAAGAAGAAAATTGGAAAATGGAAAATTTGGAATGAGCGAATAACGAAAATTGAAATTTTTTTAATTAGGATTAGTTCGTTTAGGGCCCATGAGTCCATGACTATGATCTGATGGACAGCTTCAGGAGTTCGTGTATAATGATGTAGCTGGGGATGCAACCCCAAGACTCTGTTTTTTTTTTTTTTATTAATTTTTTTTTTTGGAAAAGAGATATCAAACTTGACGAATCTCACACCATTTTTTTTTTTGGTAAGCAATATCACATCATTTTATTATGTAAAAGTTATATATAAATATATATATATATATATATATATATATATATTAAATTAGTGAAAATTTTATTATAATTTGTAAATATTTTTATATGAATACAAAATTTTTATATATGATTAAATAAAATTTTAATACCAAAAAATTTACATTCAGAGTAACATTACACGTTATAAGTTATAACTACGTAATTTAGTGTTATTCAGTGTAGATAAGTCAGGTCAAATAAAGGTTTATTTTAAGGGTAATTCGATTCTTATGTTACGAGATATTCAACAGATGGGGCCCACTATCACCTCAATTTTTCTTCTCTCTCCAAATTTAAATTTTTGCCTGGCAAAGTAAAATGTGTCCTTCCTGTAACACCGGGACAATAATATTATCTTCAGGGGACGTTTGGTACACATTATTTTATAGGATTCTTAGAAAATTAAATTTTTTTAAATTTTTTAATTTTTAAATATTATCGTAAATTGAATATAAAAATCATATTTTTGAAAATCTAAATTTTCGGACAAAAAAAAATTTCTCCTCTACCAAACGCCACCTTAATTTAAATAAATTAAGTTTATATAAAATATTTCAAACGTCAATTGACTTATTAATTTGATCCAAGCTAAATTAAAAATTTTACATGATTTATTTTTAAAAAATACAAGGTTTGATCTATCCTATTAAGTATGCAAAACCTTTAAAAATGACATATTATATTCTATAAACTATAGGTTATGATTACTCTATACAACGCTGAACTCACAGTTCAAAATATTGATAATTTAATTACTCAAAATAAAGAACAATTAAATAAACAGAATTGTATTAATTTTTTTATATAGAATTAAATTTTATTTAATGTAAAGTAAATTAAAAATTTATATAGACATGTATGCATGCACCCATACACACACATGTATATAATTGGCACTTAATTATATTGATATTTAAAAGTTAAATTTATATTTAAATGTGTTTTAGGAAATTATTTTGATTCATATTTATTATATTTTAATGACATAATTTAAACTTATATTTAATATATTTTAAGAAATTTATATTTATATATTAAAAAATAAGAAAAAGTATTTGTCCTTTTAAATGACACAACCTGTATCATTTCACTCTCACAAAGAGGTGAGACCCACACCTTTATCTTTTTTGTCCTCTCTTTCTCTTATTTAAAATGACATAACTTTACCTCATTTAAAATGACACACATTTTTCCCTAAAAGATATAGTTATTAGATTGTAGTATTTTTATTTATATTTATATTATTTTATTAAAAATACAAGTCACGTCTAAAGGCTTAAATGCCAAGCTTTTGAAAATAAGTATATGGTCTAATTTCTAATAAGTTTAAGGCAAATGTACTTCTCTGGTGGGTGCAAGAGATTTTTTTGCAGTAACACATAAAAAGTTAGGATGCACATGCAGATCTTGTCTTTTTTTTTTTTTTTTAAATGCCAGGATCCGCATACGAATCCTAGTATGAACGTGTTTGATGCAAAATTTTTCATCTGCAATAACAGTAAGAGTAGCAAACCCTAAGTTTAAACATGTACTATTTTTATTTTAGAATGGGTTAAATCAAATTAGGCAAAAAAATAGATAAGATTGTAGATTTCTAACAAGCTCTTTGACTCATTTAAGACCTACTAAAACCTATATGGAATCCCCCGAATATTTGGTAGTTATTGTTAAACCGGCAAAATACTTTATGAAATGGGCTAGTCTTAGTCTGTAACTAATAAAATAAAGGGAAAATTTAAAAAAAATTCCTATGAGTTTTCTTAATTATCAGTTATCTCCCTCACAAATTTTTTGAATCATTTATACTTTTATTTAAATTTTTTTATCACTTATCCCCTTGACTTAAAGTTTTTTTATCATTTACCCCCCTAAGTGAGGGGGTAAGTGATAAAGAAACTTTAAATCAAGGGGATAAATGATTTAAAATTTTAGAGAGTGGATAAATGATTACGAGGAAAGTTACAGGGTTTTTTTTTGAATTTTTCTTTAAAATAAATTAAAAACATTAAAATGAAAATGTTGCTTGGCTTCTTCGTTAAGTTGTCTAATTAAAAACAGAATAAAATTCTGTACAAAAAAAGAGAGGATAAAAATAAGTTTAAAAATTGTAATAAAGTATGAAAATAAAATCTTTAACTCTTATTTCTATGTTATGTAAAAAGTTTTAGTATGAGAAATTAACTTTCACAATTTTAACAATAAAACTTGTAAAATAAAAAATAAAAAATAAAATTTTTAATTTTTAATTATTAAGTTATAAATGCATGGTTGATATTTTTCGGATGATATTATGGTATTAATATAAGAAATTAAAAATCCATTCCCACTATAATATAAAAATAAATTAAATTAAATTGGATGCTTCATTAAATACCGTGCACGCATACAACTCTGTATTATGAAGACTTATTATTTTGATCAATATTATTTTTTATGTGTTGCTGAACTAATTAGTATAAAAAGAAGAGAAAAAATTGGCCATTCTGAAAATGGTTTCGTTTGAATCTTGATGATTGAATTATTGATATAGCAGTTTCACTGCAAAGAGAAGAAATCCTTATTTTCTATCTTGTACTGATTTCAATGTAATGCAATTGGTGACCATTTAATACTTAATTTTATTATTTCATAAGTAAAAAGAGTATTTATAATGATTTCACAAGGACTTTCAGCCATCCAACTAATCAAGTACACAATAGAACTAACATGCTATATCAGCAAATCTTATATCTCAAGAAAAACCATTGCCAAATATTCAGACACCTAAATCACTATTTAAAGCTATATAATAAGACTCCACTTAAAACTGAGCTTTTTTCTGAGTCAGTGCTTCTCAGAGCCAGAATCTCTCTTCTGCCAAAACTTAAATTGTAAAGATCTTTGTTCCAGCATCTTCTCTACTTCTTCCATTGGAACTCCCTTGGTCTCTGGTACAAAAATAATGACAAAGAAAATGGCTACAACAGCCACAATTCCAAATATCATGAATGTCCATGCTGTCCCAATAGCTTGTGTCAATGATAAAAAGGATTGTGAAACAATGAGGTTAGAAACCCAAACAGTTGTTGATGCCATTCCTCCACAAATTCCTCTATATCTCAAGGGATAAATCTCAGAGTTAATAACCCATGGAACAGTTCCCATACCAGGTGAAAAGAAAATAATGTAGAGAGCAAGGCCTACTAATGCAGCCCAACCATATTTGCTAGGACATCCCCTAGTGTACCATGCCCTATGATCATTGCCACACAAATCCTTTGTAGTAGAATTCGAGATCAAACAAGCCCCAGGTAATAGCTGCAAATTTAATTGAAAGTAGTGTCAATAAATATGATAAGTAAGTGTTAAGTGTCACACAAGAGTCTGTTAGACTTGAAGGGTGAATAATGCACAATCCCGTCTACCTGTATTAAGAAATTTCATAATATTTAAATATTTGTTAATAGAATAGTGGGCAGTGAAAATTGAACTCTAGACCACTTGATTATAAAAACTCTGATACTATGTTAATTTCAACCAAATACTTAAATTGTTAAGTGAATGCACATTAACAGTGCTAGCAGTATGATCATGCTATATGCATAGTTTCAAAAAAAAATAAAAAAAATGAGGTTGGCAAAATGAAAGGATAGAATAGATTTACCTTGTCATGAGCAGCAGCACAAAAACCACAAGATGGTGAAGACTTTAGGCATGTCACACAATCCCATCCTCTAGGGTTAACAGCTGATTTGAAATCAGGACAAGTGTTATTGAAATTTGAGGTCTCAATGGCACTAACCATTGGAGAGTGAATTTCACTCTCACGAAAAGCGACAGTTAGGAGAGCCAAAGCACCAACACAACCACACAAACTTATTAGAGCAAGCTTTTTTCTACCAGTCTTATCAATGAAGTATATGCTCAAAATTGAACCAAATGCATTGAGCCCAGATGTGATGAGTGAAAGAAGCAGTGCTGTTCTGTTAGATGCAAAACCAGCTAACTGAACAATTGTGGGGCTGTAGTACATTACAGTGTTGATACCTACAAACTGCTGAAAGATTTGAAGGCCCATCCCTGCATATAAACCTCTTCTAACAGATGTAGTTTTCAATAGTTTGATCATGCTTATCTTATCTGATGATTCTGCTTCCTTGATTTCCATATCAACTGATTCCTTTAAAGCTAGAATTTCAGCTTCAACATCCTGAGGAGGGTAAATCTTTTTCAGAATTACTTTGCTTTCCTCCTCCCTACCCTGAAAAAAGAAGAAGAAAAAGGAATAACAATGAAGATTTAGTATTTCACAGACTGAAAACTTGGTGATAATTGATGACTGATGATGATGAACTAACCTTCCTGTAAAGCCAACGAGGTGATTCTGGGAGTGACAACATTAGTACAATTTGTATCAAAGCTGGTGCTGCTGCTACCCCTAACATCCACCTCCATGTCCCTGGTGCCTGAATGAAAAATTAAGCACAAATTCTTTTAGCACATCAAAACCAAAAAGCCATTAAACCCCGACTGGAGAAAGTGGAGTGAGGACAATCTTTATAGAAAGTGTTAATCTTATATATTTGTAAAGCGGCTTTCCTGGATTTGAAGTCGTAACCTTTCAATCATAAAGAAACAATTTACCACTACTCTAGTTTCGCCTTTTATTAAGAATTGAAGAGACTAATTACATGAATTCAACATGTGACCTAAGTGACATGGAGACAAGTGACAACACTAACTATTGTGTCATGACTTTTCTTCACACATCACAAAAGAACAAGGTGCAAAATTTATACTATGGAACAAAAGAACTTCAAACATCCTGTATATATCAACTAGGCATGTTTCATACTGTCACAATTGTATAACATATATCACACAACATTGGAACAAACAGATAAAATGATAGCATAGTTTCTCACCTTAGTGAAGGCCAAGTTGATGAGGTAGGAAAGGAACTGTCCTCCAGTTATAAGAAAACTGTTAAGACTAACAAGGGCTCCTCGAACTCTTGTTGGGGAAGCCTCTGAAATATACAAAGGGGATGCCATTGAAGCCATGCCAACACCAAGGCCAACAAATACTCGACCCACAATGAGAACAGTTGGATTTATAGCAGCAGCCATGATCACAGACCCTATTAAAAAGAGGGTATCTGCAACAATGATTGCTACTCTCCTTCCAAATCTATCATTCATCCATCCACCAACTGCAGCTCCTATGATTGCTCCAGCAAGTGCAAAACTCACTATGGCTTCCTGAAACGTTTTTTCATAATTCACAATTCACAACAACATGACAATAAGTACTTTGAATTCAAAAGAAAAATAAAAGAACCATAGGTTTTTCTTTTACATCCTTTCGGAAAAGGAAAAGGAAAATTAACACAAAAGTATTGTGTAAGGGATTATGTATATATAACCTATGGTTGCCTTCTAGATTTTGTTGCATCCCATTTATAATTTTACTCACAATTTCAATTGAGTAACAAATTATTGCATAATAAACTTTTTATCATCAATATATCATACATGAAATTGAAAACAAATAGAAAGATGGGGCAAAAAGAAGAAAAGAATCTGACTTTTAGTGCATGTTTTTTATGGTTATGCCGAATGAATTATTAAATTGTAGAATTATATCAGAATTAAAGTGTCACACGTATTCTCTGTTATGTTATGAACTCTTTTAATGAATTGTTTGATGATTAATGATGCAGATTAAGAATATAATTCTCTACCAAAAAAAAAAAAAAAGTTGGTGTTCAATCTTGCTTTTAATTTGTTGGAGATCCCCCCCTATTGGGCCAACAGAGCATATGTTGAGGCGTGACATTAATTAATGTGGGGATATATATTTTTTATCTTAATTTTAAATTATGTGAGAATATCTTGGGCTTAGACACGTATCCCCTTACATCTATATTTTTTTCATTTAATTTTAATCACATTTACCTTATTTTATACACTTTTACATTGAAGTAAAAGATGTAAGTACTTAACTACCAAAAAAAAAAGAAAAAAAAAAGATGTAAGTACAGAAGAATCCGGTAATTAATATTTTTTTTATGTCTTTAAGAAGGCGTGAAGAAAAAAATGGGTTTATGTAATAAAAAATGTAAAGATTATCCAAAATATATTAAATGGATCTCATCCGATGAATACGGATCAGGTATTAAATTTATCCACCGAAACCTTTGAAAATTTGCAAACTCACATAAAAAAAAAAAAAATGAATCTTAAACTCCATCTGTTAAATTTTTAAAAAATTATGGACTAATTTTCTAATGTTATAGGAGATAATTTTATCTCTTACATACATATAAAAATATGTGGACCTATACAAGGGAAAAAGAAAAAAAAAAGACTTATACACACTTTTTTTTATATGTATGTAAGAGCAACATGATAAACATTATTCTCCAAAATTATATATATCTAAACAGGTTTCCCAAGTTGCTGGTAAAATTATTACAACAAAAAATGATTAAAAAAAATGAAACTTTGAGGTTTCGTAAAAGGTATGAAAGATAGAAAACCATTGTTTTGTTATTTTGTGCAAGTTGGTGACTGTAAACAGAGAAGATGAAAGGGTATTAAAGTCCATTAAAGAAAAGGTTGGGATTCACAAGAAGAAATTTGAATTGATTGGTAAACTAAGATTTCCTCTTTTCATATATGGCCTCAAGGAAGGTTGTAGGTATTACCTGAAGCCAAGTTTCCCTATCAACTGCTTTGAAGTCATCTCTGATATACAAAAGAGCCCCAGATATCACTCCTGCATATACCCACCAATTATTAACCATAATCCAAGTAATAATAACAATAATAATAATATGTTCTTATATGAAAGAAAATTATGTACCCTTATAGTAAAATATATTATTAATTCTATTAAAATTAAAATATGATACAGAAGCAGTGTACTCTTTAAGTATTTTTTGCTATATCAGGGTAAGAAAAAGCATAGAGATGAAGGTGCTTCTTAGATAAGAGGGTGAGAAACAGAGAAATGGGGTGTTTAATATGGGAGTTAAAAACTAGGAAAACAAGACAAAGATGCTAAGAGAGAAAGAGATTTAAGAAGAACAAGGTGATTAAAATGGAGTATAAATAATAATACATGAAATTTTTTGTTACTTACCAGTGTCATAACCAAAGAGAAGGCCACCAATTCCAGCAGAGAAAGCAAGGCGAAGAACATAAGGATTCTTCCATGAAAGAGATAAACATTCTCTGAAAGCAGACATATCAGCTTCTGGTATGCCTCCTTCCATGGTTTCGAAGTGTTCTTCTCTAGATGAAGAGATACTATAAGAGAAGAAAAAGATATGATCAAGTATTCAACGTTGGTTGTTCTTGCTTGAGCAATGATGTTTTGAGCTTGGGAGAAGAAAGGCTTGGTGGGTAGTATATTTATAATTGGAGAAAACGTTGAGATTACGAGTTTGGACACTAATGTTGGAAAATGAATTTCATTTTTTAATAACATAAAAACAAATTAAATGATATTATTCACGGATATCAATCTTCTTTAATAATCAAATTAAACAATAATAAACAAACATCCTTGGCACACGTGATAAGGAATTTGAATCCCTTAATCAAACGTCTCAAGTTCAAGAATAATAGTTCAAAGGATGAACCGATGGAAAACTAAAAAACAAAAATTAAATGATAATATACTTTTAACAATTTTTTCCTTTAAAATTAATTTAATTTAGTCAATTAAGTTTATAAATGACAAACTTTTTTTTTTTTTAAAAAAATTTCATTTGTGAAAAAGCTTATATAAAATGGTGTTTTTTTTTTTTTTTGGAATCGAACTCATTTCTCTTCCTCACCTACTTGGTATGTATTGCCAACCGAGTTAGACCCATTGAATGATTTTTTATTTTAAGAAACACAAAATATTATTTATATATCTAAAAATACAAATTTTGCTTAATAAAATTTTGAAAATACGATAATATAATAAAATTTATCGAAAATAAAAATGACATGCCATTATTTTTTTTATTACAAGTTATTTTAATTCTTAAAGGATATATAGATTTTCACAAAATTTATTATTACAACACAAAACCTTTGTTTTCCATTCTAAGTGCAAAAAAAGTATTCAAAGTCAACTTAGTTGGTTTATTAACTATAACTTGCTAAAAATTTACACAAATTAATTAAATCTCACATTAGAATAACTGAATAGTGTAAATGCAAACTGTAAATTTGACCTATAAAATGTAATAAATGGTCGATAAACGAATAGCAAAGGCAAGTAAATTGGCTATTAGTGCATTTATCATAGTATTTTCACGCATTAAATCCTTTAGAAAGTAGAGTTTAAAATTACATCAAAACTCAACTAAGAAATTTCTGTAATGGTTACTAGTATAGTATTATCATTCATTAAATCCTTAAGAAAGTACATTTTAAAATTACATCAAATTTCAACCAAGAAGATTCCACTGATGGTTGCTTGTGTGATTTAGACTAGCTAGGGACCTCATGGGAGGGGTGCGGGGTCCCCTTTCCTATTCCTACTCCTCTCCGTATTTCCTAGAGAGCCCCTCTCCTTTTCTAGTTTCACGAAAAGATTTCTTGATTGGGTCCCAATGAGTGTTACTAGTATTATTCATTGTTTCCAAAAAAGAAAAAATCAATTATAAATGGGAAAGCGTATGAGTATTCATTTACTATTTTGTTTAAATGAATACTTATATACTTAATATGAGTTGTTAAATATTTATCACTTGTTAATTATGTTTGATAATTTTTTTTTAAAAATTTATGATAAATTATTGATTAATAAATATTCTGCAAGGCACCCTCAATATCAATGTTAATTTTATTAATACCTTTATGGGTGCCTCCCAAAACATATATGATATAATTGTTTTCATTTGATTTTTTTAAGGAAATGTAGGAGAAAATATATGATAAAATTAAAAATAGTAATATCGCAATCTCTATAATAATATTTTATATATGTTTGAGATTTTTCTGCAAAATACATATTCTTCCAAAATAGAAAAAACAATTTATCGAATACTTTGTAGTTTGTAATGGTTATGGTTTTTAGTTTTATAAAATTAAAAATGAAATAAATACTATTTTAATTCTTGGAGGACATAGGTGTCCACAAAGTTTATTAGAATACTGCAAAAGTCTACAAGTCAACTTGGTTGATCTGTAGAGAACATTATATTCTATTTTGATTTCATCAAAAAGCAAATCTATTTTGAAATGTAATTCCACGTATCTATTACTGAGCACAAAGGGGTTTAATTTTGTTCTCGTAATTTCTATTTGGGTAAAAACTTATACAAAAGGATACTTTTTTTATGTTAAGAAATATGACAGATTATTTATTTATCAATTTTTTTAAATAGATTAGTAAATTTTTATAGCAGAATATTGTGTGTACATATATATATATATATATATATATATATATATATATATATATTTCAAGGCTTTAGCCCAAATACTGTAGTTAATTTTATTAAAACCAAAAATGATAAACTGTTTTTTTATTATACAAAAATATTATTTAATTCTTAAATGATATAGGTACCACAAATTTTAATAAACAGTGCATAAGTATACAAGTCAAATGGGTTGGTATGTAGAGCTATTTAATCTTATTGAAGTCAACTATGTTGGTAGGTAGATCTGTTCCATGCATCTATCATAGTACATAAAAAAATAAAAAATAAATTGAGTGTTTTAAATGAAAATTATCAATTTCCTTTTTTTTAAAATAGGAAGCAAAGGTTTGAAGCTTATACATAATACATGTATTGGGTCAAGCAACCTAAATCCCTCTATACCAATAAAGTCTAAGTTGTGTTGGGTCTCTAGCCTGATTGATTTATTGTACTAATCTCTTGTTTAAAAATATATTTTTATTGCTGTTGTTAGGGCTGCAAAAAGAAGAAGAGAAAAAGCAAAGCGAAAAGCTAAAGAATAAACCCTTTGAAGAAGATATCTAATGTCATCGCTGAAGATGAAAAAGAAGAAACCAAATAGTGTAGGATCCTTATCGCCTACAGAGAGAGATCCACCTTTGTGTGAGAGAATTATTATTTATAAGTCATCCTTTTAAAAGGTGAGTTCCTCTAATTTCTAGGTCATGTGCTTTTTACTCTTTACATTGAAGAGATTTTGCACATTAAATTTGGTGGTTTATCTACTATCCTTGTCTCTGTTTTGATTTTTATTTACATTTGCTCGTTGATGCTTTTGTGAGCCGGGCTAAAAGAGTCGGGCTCTTTGATATATATTGAAAAGTTTGACTATAAGTGTCGGGCTCATGACACAATAATGGTATTGAGCTCTTAGATCGAGGGCTTTGTGAAGTTAGAGATGGAGAGAGCCGTCACATATGATGGTAATGGAGGATCATCTTTATTGCAAAAATTTGTATGAGTTCATCTTGAGCATGAACAAGGTAGAAAGGAATAACAATAAAGAGTGGGATCTCCTCAATCGAAAAGTGATTGCTATAATTCGCAAGTGCATCGACAAAAGCTTATTCGAGAACGTGTCAACATACACAAATGCTCACGAAATATAGATGAAGCTTGAATATTTGATTTAGAAAAATATGCCATACAACAAATCACACCAAGTGCATCGACTTATGAAGTTAGACTATAAGGATAGACACAACATGATTGAGCATTTGAATACATACAAGGCACTCAAATTAGCTGACGAAGATTAACATGAAGATTGATAACGAGTTGCAAGCTCTCTTGCTTCTCAGCTTGTTGCCTAATAGTTGAGATACTTTAGTTGCAACACTCGATAACTTGACTCTAGAATGGAAGATGAAAAAGAAGAAACCAAATAGTGTAGGATCCTTATCGCCTACAGAGAGAGATCCACCTTTGTGTGAGAGAATTATTATTTATAAGTCATCCTTTTAAAAGGTGAGTTCCTCTAATTTCTAGGTCATGTGCTTTTTACTCTTTACATTGAAGAGATTTTGCACATTAAATTTGGTGGTTTATCTACTATCCTTGTCTCTGTTTTGATTTTTATTTACATTTGCTCGTTGATGCTTTTGTGAGCCGGGCTAAAAGAGTCGGGCTCTTTGATATATATTGAAAAGTTTGACTATAAGTGTCGGGCTCCATGACACAATAGTGGTATTGAGCTCTTAGATCGAGGGCTTTGTGAAGTTAGAGATGGAGAGAGCCGTCACATATGATGGTAATGGAGGATCATCTTTATTGCAAAAATTTGTATGAGTTCATCTTGAGCATGAACAAGGTAGAAAGGAATAACAATAAAGAGTGGGATCTCCTCAATCGAAAAGTGATTGCTATAATTCGCAAGTGCATCGACAAAAGCTTATTCGAGAACGTGTCAACGTACACAAATGCTCACGAAATATAGATGAAGCTTGAATATTTGATTTAGAAAAATATGCCATACAACAAATCACACCAAGTGCATCGACTTATGAAGTTAGACTATAAGGATAGACACAACATGATTGAGCATTTGAATACATACAAGGCACTCAAATTAGCTGACGAAGATTAACATGAAGATTGATAACGAGTTGCAAGCTCTCTTGCTTCTCAGCTTGTTGCCTAATAGTTGAGATACTTTAGTTGCAACACTCGATAACTTGACTCTAGAATGGAAGATGACTATGGACTCTATAACAACCCTAATTCTCAAAATGTATAAAGTTTGACAATTAGGTGAGACAGTGTGTAAATCCTATGTCTGTTAAGGAAATTCTGTCAGTTGAATCATGAAACTATCATGATAATGGATGTAAGGATACAATACATGGCTAACAAGTCAATTAGAACCTAAAAAGAACATAAGTTGCGTTTAGAGACAAAAATACATAAAATTGTGTATCATGGGTATTTTAGTAATTTTGCAAACTAGGTCTGAACTGAGTTCTGACAGTCTAGTTAAATTTTCTGGTAAATTCTAAGGTTTTTATATGTGTTTAATTTAATTATTTGATGCGTAGAATAATTTAAATAAATATGTCAAAGTTTGATTAATTAAAAAGTCAACTAGTTTAAAAAGTAAGCTTTAACTTTACACCTAGGCTGAATCTTTGGTCAAAGATGATTGTCTTGCTTTCTATGATATATGTGATGTGTAATTATATTATTGTATGATTGGTTGGTGATGAACCCTTAGTTAATCAGGTTTTTGAGCATGAATTAGTATAAATTTGTGTGATTAAATGATGGAAAAAGAGGTTAATATCTTAGAATTTCCTCAACTACAAGTTCAAGAAGCTTTATTGAGAATTTGTATTGTTCTTGTAGGAAAAGCAAGCTAAAAAGGCAACTAGAGAAGGAATGAGATTTTGAAGAAGAGAAAAATGCCTAAG